TAATTTAAATAATTTGATCAAATTAGATTAGATTAGGTCAGGTCAGGTCAGGTCAAATGAAAATTTAAATCAGATCGAATTTTTGTTTAACCTGACCTGATCCTCTCAGTTTAGGTAACTTGATTGACCTGACCTAAACCGACCTGTTCAGAGTTCTATACCTTTCTTTTATGTTATCTTCACTAGATCATTATTCTCAGCTTTTCTCCACTTTTCTTCTTTTAATGAATGAAATTTAGTTAACTTAGTAGTTTGACATTCTTCACAATGCTTCGTCTCTGACATATTTTTAATAAGTAAATAGAAATGTAAAGGTGCAGGATTAATGGAAATTAAATAAATATATGGAAGTGTTTCTAGGAAAATCAGGTTTCGAGAAATTTTTGACTAAAATTAAGAGCTTAATACATTTTAATCTAATAACATCAAAAACTAAAATGCAATAATAATCTCAATTTTGCTAAAAAATTCCTGGAACCTGATTTTCCTAGCAATCAACCCATATTGTAGAATAGCATGAATACTTCAAGTTTGCTTAATAAACTTTATTTATGATTCAATGTAATATGTGTAATAAAGACCCCTATCAATCGTATTTTAAACTATATAAAAAAATTTTTTAATAAATTGTGTAACTGTTTTTCTTATTTAAAATAGTCCTATCTAAAAGTATATACTAATAAGAACTTACCAGTTTAATTCTGTAGGGTGTATCATAATTCAACTGTTCCATTAACTAATAATATTTAAAATGTAATATCATATTTTTTTGTATCACTTAACACATCTAAATAAAAATTTTTTTTTTTTTTTTACAAAATGACTACCATAGAAGAAATTAAAGATAATGCAAAAGGTGATTATGTAGAGGTTAAACAGAGGTTGGTGAAATGGGAGAATAAGAATGTAAAAAGGTTAAAGAAATTGAAGAAAGAAATAGTGGAAGATTATACTAGTAAAAAGGATGAGTTAAAAGAAGAAAGGAAGAAGTTAAAAAAGGAAAAAGAGGAAAGGTGGGTAGTGTTTAAAAGATGGGATAAGTTATTACATGGTGAATTTGTTAAAGAGGTAATAATCAAATTGCGTAAAAAAAAATATTCATTCCATTTTATTTATTTATTTATTCGTCTAACATTTGTATATTTGTATATTAACTACTTTAACTAACATTTTTTTTATTTTATTTATAAAATGGAAATATATTTTATTTTTTATATAAAATTTTCCTTTTTATTTAATATAATTGTAATACAAGGTATGTACTATATCTTCAATCACATTTTTTCTGAGAAATCTTATATTAAACGATTGTTAAGCAATAAATTATTGAATTTTATTAATTGCATTCAACCTTAATATTAAAGAAAAAATTAAATAGAGATCCACTTGCAGTCTTAACATGAGTAAAGAAATATAGGTCAAAAGGAATAAAACTATTAGAACTTGTGAAAATATTTAGTATTAAATTTACTTTTCTTTCTTGCAAAGATGCTGCAAATTGTCTCTGAAATGGCAGTGTAATTAATTCCAATGGTATTTTAAAATGTTTTTATAGCTTTTATAATTAATCTGATAATCATAACCTATACTCAATTCCTTTTCTTGTCTGTGGTTTTGAGACAGAAAAGAGCAGACTTTTGCAAGAGATTCATAGTATCCTTTTTAAGAAAACTCAAGAATCAGAGAATGGTAAAGTTAGATTTATTTTTAAAGATGCTGTCTATCTGAATGTCACATATAGCAATAGTTTAGCAGCTAAAGAATTAAATGAAAGAATTAGTAAAGAAGCCTCAATGGCAATTAGAATTTTGTATAACTACTTTATACATAGAAATAAGAATATGGGTTACTATGAATTTATAGATCTCATTAATGAAAAAAATGCAAAATATTTAAGTTTATCGCATATTTTATATATTACCCACAAAGACAAGGTTAATAGAAGTGAAGATGATCAGAAGTTAGCAATTGTTATTGGTATAGATAAGGTCAATAAACTAAATAATACAAGTAACATTGCATTTCATTCTCTTATAAATAGTATTGGCTCATATAGTTGTCAATCAGAAAGAGTATTTTTTATTTCAATTTTAGTTGAGATAATTGTAAGTCTACTTCAATTAATATTTACTAAATTAATGCATCAAGCACTTTACTTACCACTACATTTATTAGGTGATTCTGATATATTAAAGATAGCATATGATATTGAATTTGATGATAAATATATTTATAATAATAATCTTTTCAGACGTATTATTATTAATATAGGTGATCAGGTGTGTGTTTTAAAGTTGTTCTATGAAATAATTTCAAAAGAAACTTCAAAAAAAAGACTAGAAGAAATTGATTTGACACATGTTTGCATTCAATTAGGTAAAAACTTTAAGAAAGATATGATTTTAGCATTTACTCAGATCAAATAACTTCTGTTCTTGCAAATGTCATCTTAGGACAAAAGATTAAAAGAAAAGATAATATTTTAATAAATGATTAACAAATCACATATGAAGACTTAGAGTCTCATAGATTATTAATACTTAAACTAGATAACACTCCTAAGAGTAAATTTCACATACAAATTTCATATCTTTGAATTTGACTTTTGATAAGAGAATCTAATAGTAAATCAATTTTCAAATTTTGGAATTTAATGATTGATCCTAAGGAATAATTTTATTGGAAATAATGGGAAAAGTTTAATGTTGAATTCTAAGTCTTGCAAATATATTTATTTTTAGTACTTGAAAATAAAATATTAAAATTAAAAGAATTATTAAATGATGCATTGTGTTCAAATTCACTTATGAATGAAGATGTGAAAAATTTTGATTACAATTCAATTAAAATACATTATATAAGAAACCAATATCCATCTAATAGTATTATTTATGATTTTAATAATTCTATTTGTGAAATTTCACTTTTTAATAATTGTACAATTTATTTAAATGCTGATGGTACTGCTTGTAATGAATTTACTTTTTTAATAATCAATGATCATCAAAAAAAAGAGTTAAAATTATTGGTATTACAGACAAAGTGGAGAAATATGAAATCTAATAATCCTCAAAAAATTGGTGATAAGATAATCAAAGAAGAATCTAAAAAAGTTAAAAAAATTGCAGAAAAGATTGGTATTAATATTGGTTATTACTGGTTCTGTCAAATTGTAAATATTTAATTAATTCAGAGAATTTGCAACCAGAATGTGTAATTGTTAATAAAGATAATTTAGCAAAATTCTATAGAAATGTGTATTCATCTCATGCTCAATTTGCTGCAAGTAAGATTTATAATTCTTAAAAAACTTTTCAATTTTTTTCTTAATCTGCACTAAAAAAAGATCTTTTTTGCAGGTAGTGATAAAATCTGTATTAATTCAACAAACTTCTGAGAATTGAAAGTTTTAGATAGTGTAGGAGAAATAATAGCAAATGAAATTTCAAATGAGCAGAAAAAAAGAAAATTTGATGATGTTAATGATCTATGTAAACATATTAAAAAATTTTCAAAATTATCTTTGAATTGTATAAAGTTCTAGTACAGTCAACTCTTGATATAGCGAACTCTTGATATAACGAATTTTTTGAACAAATATAATAAAAATACTCTTGTTATAGCGAATTAACCAATCAAATCTCTTAAACTCTTCACTATAGCCTTATAGCGAAGTTGAGGTCTAGGACATAGAGTTCGTTATAACAAGAGTTGACTGTATACATATGTAAGCATAATGAAAGAACTTAAGATCTTTTTAGTAATACAAAAACTAAAAATAACAAATTATTGAACATAATTAAAAAATGCACAACCACATAAAATATCTCAAAAAATATTTTTAAAAGTTATAATATATTGATAGAAAATCCAACATATAAAAAATCAATAATCATTCTTACATTTATTCTCTAATTTTTTGCTTTTTAATTTCTTTATTATTAGCTGACTAACTTTCTATAATTGCTACTTATGTAAACATTGGAATAAGCAATTTCAAATCTGTCTCGAAATGTCTATCCAAGCTTTATAGTTTTACATCACCATATAATAGTTGGAATATGCATTATGTATATCATGTAGAAATGTTAACTTGCATATTTTATTTTCTTAAATTAATAAAAGTGTCCTAATAGCCTATTATTATTTTTCATATTTTCATCCATATGGGTAAGATGTATCAGATTATAAAATATTTCTTGGCAAAAGTGATCAGTCATGCACATCTGATTTTTCTTGCATAATAAACTTTTTTTGCAAAATAATCTAAATGTTTCACTACAACTATAAATATATAATTGATAAGCTTTCAGAAAGCTTAGTGAATAGAGCATGTTGAAAGATCTTGTATTATTCCATAATTTTATATCAATATAACAAATTTATAAAAAATGTGATCAGATTAAAGAATAATTATACTATAGTTACACCTCGATATAATGAAGTTGCTGATCCAGCTGATCAGGATTTTATTATAAGAATCTTCGTTAACGCTATAACGAATTATGCAGTATATATAACGAATAATTCGTTATAGTAGATGATTAC